TTTACACCTCATTTAGTGTTATAAAACACTAACTGTGACCTCAATGTAAACGTCATCATCGTCATCGTTGTCATAATCAACATTATCGTCATCATCATCATAAGATAGATAGATAGATAGATAGATAGATAGATAGATAGATAGATAGATAGATAGATAGATAGATAGACAGACAGACAGACAGACAGATAGACAGACAGACAGACAGATAGATAGATAGATAGATAGATAGATAGATAGATAGATAGATAGATAGATAGATAGATAGATAGATAGATAGATAGATAGATAGATAGATAGATAGATAGATAGATAGATAGATAGATAGATAGATAGATAGATAGATAGATAGATAGATAGATAGATAGATAGATAGATAGATAGATAGATAAAGAGAGGGAGGGATGGACGACGGGGAGGGAGGTATTTTATTACGTATGTTTCTTTTGTTCATTAGATTCTTTTTTACTTATTTAGAATTATATAAGTCTTATTCTTTGTTCATCTTTCTTTTTGAATTTCTCGCTATCATCAAGTATTTGAATGTTTAATTCTGTCTCTTTGAGTGTCTCTCTTTTTCACTAACATTTTTTATCTGTTCTGTTTCTTATTCGTAATACTTCCTTCCTTGATTATTTGTCCATTCTTTGAATGTTCATTTGTCTTGCAGGAAAATGCATTCTTATGTAGACATTTCCAAAAACAATCAATCGGATGTTGTACTAAAATTAGGAAATTTTATTTGCTTTTACCTTTCGAAATGTCTATGTTGATTCATAACCCTTTGTAAGCACGTGCTGCGCGCTACGTGATTACATTTTCTATGAATCACTCTCTGGGAAATTGTACTATCTGTTCCCTCTCTATCGTACGCGTGAAAGAGTGCGACTTTACATTAATCCGTTCAATTTACTGTATGCATAAGATCTATGGCTCTTGTTTCTTGGTTGTACAGTCTGGCCTATAAAAATGTAAAATACGAGCTTTTCAGCAAAACTGGAAACTTCAAATTCATGTTCGTGCATTCCATTAAAACGGTATTATACTTTTGATTATATTCAATAATAACTCTCGAACGGATCCAGATCACAAAACGTTTCATGTCTGCGCGAAAGGATGTTATAAATGCTAGAAGATATGTTCACGAATTTTGATTTTAGATCATAATCGATGGCAAACTAAGTTACTATTCGCTAATAGTAACTACATAAAATCTTTAAGTGTGCAACTTCCCTCAGTGATGGCAAGGTTGTGGGGGGGTAGGTGCTAAGCACAGAAGTTTAGCAGGAACTTCAGTTGAATTTATAAAAATCGACGAACAAGGTAGGTGCTCCGTTTCTCATCATAGTGAGCATATTTGGATTTTAGATCTGTATATGTTTATATCATTCTAATTTATTTTTTGCCGTAATTATAAGTGAGCATGATATATTGTTGCTTTCATTATACCTTATCATTAATTTCAATTATATTCTACGTCGTTAAATTTTCTTCAACATATATATATATATATATATATATATATATATATATATATATATATATATATATATATATATATATATATATATATATATATATATATATAATACACCTAAATTGGCACAAAGATTGTTACCTAAACCAAGCGATTAAGATGTCGAAATTCCGTTCTTATCACATTTAATTTAACGGTTTTGATATTTTTGCATCACCTTTGATAATTAATTTCAACTTTGTAAGAATATTTTAAATCCACCAGTAAATTGTCATTTATTTTTATGTAATAACGCATCGATCTAAAAACATATTGGCTAATACTTTTTCAAAACAATTTAATAATTTTATCATGAGAAATAACTGAAAAAATAGTGGCAAGTTGGAAGATTTGTAATATCATTTGTTCTATCCATATTTCCCAGTCCTTCCTCTTTTTTTTCTTTCCTTTTCTTGATTTATACCTTTTTTCTAATGTGTTTATGATCCGCATCAATGCTACAAATCAGAATATGCCTACTTGACCGTGGCAAACGTCGTCTGTATATTAGGATTGACCATTTTTTTTTAACTAGATGAACCATGAAGGGAAACGTTGTGCAAGCTGATTCCGCGAAGCGGATGAAACAAAAATTTGCAACATTTAGGAGTGGTTATGGTCATTGTTGGGATTCATACAGTTATGAGGTTTTCAGTTCAGACTTCATTGAATTTTGAAAACTAAAATGGTCAGTCCTTATAATTAAATTGTACAAATTAAGCGCAGAACAACTGGAATTGTTTCCCACTCCCAGAATTATATTTATTCAAGGTTTTGCTACATGAATCCATTAAAAATTGTGCTCAATATCAGTAATTAATTTATATTAGATAAGAAAAGGCTCTTCTATCCAGCCAATTTCACACAAATTAACAATTACTTACGAAAATCTTATCTACATCCAATGTGCAGAGCAATTAAATCCGTGGTGGATTAATACGCTAATTATTAAAAATGCAATATCATTCCCAATTTAATTCAGGTGCCCATGTTTACAAATATCGAAATTTGGTTTTGGCTCTAAAACAATAAGCGTACAGCTTTTGGTTTTATAAAGTGGATTAGATCTAAGCACGAAGTGATAAAGATGTTTAGTGATAGTAGCTGATGTTGGTCAACATCTGTGAAAGGCAAAGTAAGGAATATTTGCGATTAATGTCAGTAAGCAGAAGAAGAAAAAACGAGGACTGATTGAAATGAAATTGCTGTGTTGAATTCAGACCAATGGAATAAATGTATTTCTGATCAATATCGCCGATGAAAATAGAAAGAATCTTTATCTCCTCTCTTTTCGATCTACACGAACTTTTTCATCTTGCAGGAGGAGGGAACCGCTTGAATTTGTAAACACAATATACAAAAGCATTTAAGGTGCAGTTGGAACTGAATAGAATGTTTTCTTGCAGGAAACTATGCTTAGGGCACAATCACATGCAAAATGCGAATATTGCTATTTTAAATAAAAGCGAGGCGAAGTCCACGTATTCGGTCTCACCTTGATCTTACCATCTGTTTTATTTTTTTTGGTTTTGTTCGAATGGTACTTGGAGGATAATATCAGAATGTAAGGATCCGCACTTATCTCTTGTACTCTGTCTCTACATATTATTCGAATGTGTGATTGTTTTTATCTTTATATTTTGAAAGGCCATTATGTTGAACTGAGCATCGTCATCCAGAATTTCTGTTTTACACTGTATACTGGAGTTCAAACTGCAGATTTTTCACAGACTGCCTTGGTAGTAAATGTAAACAAACACTAGCTTGTAATTTTTTTTTACCCATTATTCTCTTCGAATGTTCAGGAAACAAAGTCAATGCGGATAAAACGGAACATTTATTAGGTTCATACAGGTGTAAACAAGACATCAGATTGGATGACGACACCAAAATGACTGTCTATACAATTTTTTAATTTTTGTGCAGGAAGAAGGTCCATGGGGGTGACACTATGAATTATCGCATTGAGAAGCCTAGTGACGCCACTGGACACTAATTTCCCTAGAATGTTATTTTAATGTTGCTGTTGGAGACAATTGTGCGGAGGAGAATGTGGAGGATTATACGAGGATGAAGACGTTCACCATGTATCATTATGTCTGTTTGTCTGTCTCTCTCTCTCTCTCTCTCTCACTCACTTGTCCGCGAGAAAGCACCTTACATGCATGACCCCCCCTCTCTCTCTCTCTCTCTCTCTCTCTCTCTCTCTCTCTCTCTCTCTCTCTCTCTCTCTCTCTCTCTCTCTCTCTCTCTCTCTCTCTCTCTCTCTCTCTCTCTCTCTCTCTCTCTCTCTCTCTCTCTCTCTCTCTCTCTCTCTCTCTCTCTCTCTCTCTCTCTCTCTCTCTCTCTCTCTCTCTCTCTCTCTCTCTCTCTCTCTCTCTCTCTCTCTCTCTGTGACTTGCCCGCCAGCACGGTCCAGGCAAAAATGTGCATACCAAAGATTATTCCTTTAGGACACTGTATATAAAAAGAAAACATAACACTCCTTTCTCGAAAATGTTTTTTTAATAGTACTGTTGGAGATGTTGGTGAGAGAGAGGTTGAGGAGGAAGATAAATGCAACGATGACGAAAACGATGATGACGTGAGACTCGTATCTATCTGTATATCTGCTTGTCTGTCTCTCTTGCCCGCGAGCAAGTTCCTTGCAAACAGGAGAATACCGGATTTGCAAATTCCGATATTTTATAAGGATATTCGTTCCACTTCTGGGCCCGACCTTTATCTTTGTATTTAAGTGGACCCCAAGAATTAATAAATATCTATGCTTTTGTACTTCATGTTTTTGCTCATAAATACAACTTTGTGTTCGTCTTGTATGTGTAATTTTTTTTACTCAATCTGTTGATGCATATCACTAGCACATGTTGGATATAGTAAGTCACGTGGGTTATGTATGCGCTTTTACCTATTTTAAATCAAATACAAATAGCTTTTTTAAAATAAAACACTAATTTACTTTAACCAAAGTCATACAATCCTTAGTTTTACATAAAGCTCTACATGGTGTCATCAAGAAAATTCCAGACGAAAATAATCAATCTATAAGGTATTTTACAAACTGGTGACCCTGTACTAAATTTGAGTCAAAATTAAAGCGCCGGGTGGAATCGTCGCAATATAGGGGAGTAGGAATTTGTTCATAAATATGAATATCTTCCATTACGACATCACAGAGAGCGACATACAATCCGGATTGTACTGAATCAGAACTTTAGGTTTATTTCGTCCAAACTGTGTACTTACTTGAACAATAATTTTACCCGATGCACTTGTCAGGGCGTATAAATTATGACCTTTTAAAGGAATGTGGATGTGTCAGAAGTGAATACTTGCCACTTAAAAGTATGTAGAATCAAATTATAAAACAACTTGACATTTGACACCCATTGCTGAAACACTCAATCTTGAATTCGTACATGATCTGTTACTTTTATTATAAATGCATTCATTATATTTTTTTCCTTTCTACCTTTACTAGATCGATCCGGTGGGCCTGGTGTTTAGAGCGTCCGCGTCGGGTGAGGAAGGTCGCGGGTTCAAACCCCTTCCGAGTCATACCTAAGACTTATAAAAATGGTATTAACCGCTGTCTCGCTTGGCGCACAGCATTAAGGTTAGTGTTAGGACTGGTCGGTGTGTTATCACGATAATGTGACTGGGTGGGACATGATGCTACATGTCTGCGGCAAAATGTCCCATGGCTATTCATCACTATAAACTGTCACACTGCAGACATCGTAGCGATAGGACCGAAAAACTGTTAAAACTACTTTAAAAATTAAAATCACACCCACACGCACACACACACACACACAAACACACACAATCTTAACTCTTCGTCTTCTTTAATAATAATAATAATAATAATAATAATAATAATAATAATAATAATAATAATAATAATAATAATAATAATAATACACAAATTTGCATAGACGTATAGCTAAGTTCCATATGCTAAAGTCATTACATGTCTATTTTATGCAATTGTAATAAAGCCTCAGGTCATACCTGGCGACAATGTCGTCCAACGCAAGCGTTATTTCAGAATGGTCTTATATTCTTATATTGTGACAACATTACCATGTGATTTTTCTGTAAACAAACAGGTCTTTAACAAGCTATAAAATTATAAATTGGCAACAGGGTTATGTCCACTGTTTATATTATTGCTCTCCGTCAATTTTAAAGTTCATGACTTGTCTGACCATGGAGGAGAACAACCGAGTATTGGCAAATTAATGTGGATAGTCTTCACGCATGCGTTAACCGATCGTGTACGATAGCCCGTTGACTAACGCATGCTCGTTTCTGAGGCATATTTGGATACATTAGATACGAGCTATCAACAGAAGACTTGATTCAACCTGCCATCGTGGTTCACACGTGACTATAATTCTTGAATCGCATTTGCCTTGAACTCAGCCTTAACGTTCAAAGGAGAACTGACTTTTTCAACTCTTGCTATACCTACTTCTCATTGAAGTTTTAGAGATATGCACAATTTCAGTGATTAGAATGAAACACCACTGTCCCTGAAAATGTCTGGAAATACGCCACCTGCTCTCTCTCTCTCTCTCTCTCTCTCTCTCTCTCTCTCTCTCTCTCTCTCTCTCTCTCTCTCTCACACACACACACACACACACACGGTCGTGCAATGTGTTTTGGTTCAAATTCCACCAATCCAAACTGCATACATGATTTTACGAAGCAGTGTGTTAGCAAAACTAATCATAATAAGGTCAAATAAAAGCCATATGTTCTTACTTTGTAAGAGCTTGTGCTCACGTCAGTCCTGGCACGTTAAATAAAAGCTAAATTCGCTTTCGACACTTTCTTAGCTTTAGTCTTCTCAATTAGTCCTCGCAGGGGAGATGAGGATTAGGATTTTATCCCAGATTACCTAATATAAGACTCACCTGTTACAAAGTAAAGTCCGTCGCCTTTTATATATCTGAAAAGTCATATTTACAGATTAGAGTGATTTAATTCTTCGACTTCAAAGGCGCCGCCTACTTTTGTGTCAATTACTTAGCTACCAACATTCTTTTATAGTTACGAGAATGATGAAAATTGGCGTGAATAAAAATGCAAACACATGCACATGCATACGGGGAAGGAGTAAAATTTTATTTCTTTATCCTCTTTGTTTTCTGTCTAAATATGAGCATAATCACAACACAAAATTATAAATGGATGGAAATAAAAATCTGCTTCTATATTGGACATTTTAGAAAGGATTATAATTTTCTCATGAAACTACCAGCGATTAATACCATGAACACCGTCGTTATACATTAAACATATCAATAGGACTTAATCAGGCCAGCAACACTTTTTCTATAAAAAAAAATAGTTTGTAAAATGTAGTTACATGCATTCTGTTAGTTTTAATTAGCGTTTAGCTTTTAGGTGTCTCAAACTGCCGAACAATTTGCATTTTGTTTACCGGTTTATATCTAGAGGTTTGCCTGTTATGTAGAAGGCGTTCATATCTAGATGTTTACGTGTCATGTAGAAGGCGTTCATATCTTGACGTTTACGTGTCGTGTAGAAGGCGTTCATATCTAGACGTTTACGTGTCGTGTAGAAGGCGTTCATATCTAGACGTTTACGTGTCGTGTAGAAGGCGTTCATATCTAGACGTTTACGTGTCGTGTAGAAGGCGTTCATATCTAGATGTTTACGAGTCGTGTAGAGGGCGTTCATATCTAGATGTTTACGTGTCGTGTAGAAGGCGTTCATATCTAGACGTTTACGTGTCGTGTAGAAGGCGTTCACATCTAGACGTTTACGTGTCGTGTAGAAGGCGTTCACATCTAGACGTTTACGTGTCGTGTAGAAGGCGTTCATCTCTAGACGTTTACGTGTCGTGTAGAAGGCTTTCATATCTAGACGTTTACGTGTCGTGTAGAAGGCGTTCGTATCTAGACGTTTACGTGTCGTGTAGAAGGCGTTCACATCTAGGCGTTTACGTGTCGTCTAGAAGGCGTTCATCTCTAGACGTTTACGTGTCGTTTAGAAGGCATTCATATTTAGACGTTTACGTGTCGTGTAGAAGGCGTTCATCTCTAGACGTTTACGTGTCGTGTAGAAGGCGTTCATATCTAGACGTTTACGTGTCGTGTAGAAGGCGTTCATCTCTAGACGTTTACGTGTCGTGTAGAAGGCGTTCATCCGCGCTAAAACATTTTATTAGCAATTCAATCAAATACAGTTATATAGCATATGTTATCGCAGCTGAAACAAAATCCCATTGTGTCTTGGAGTCCTTTGATGACAGTTGGTAGTAGATGTGATAGAAAATAATTTTTGAGATTGTTATGAAGATCAAAAAGACACTCGTATGTACGGATGCTAGTCGCGGTTAAACGAATAGAGAATATATTATACAATTTTTAATAGATATACATAAATATTGCACAAGAGAAGTGGAACTATTGTATTGTCACGAGTGGTGGATTCACGAAACCACGAGTGACAATGTTTCCAAATTCCGATTGAAATATTTCCATATACCTACTCAAAAAACGTAGATTTTATAAACGATATTTTGTCAACACAACAACCGTCGATTTCATGAGTTTTCTCCATTCTGTGCCACTTTGACTAACAGCTGGATTAAACGTTCCTGAATTTTCTTATAATTTCGGGATAGCGATGTTCTGTAACTTCAGCTTGCACTTGCCATGCTTCAAACTGTGTACTTTGTAACATAAATACTGTATTCGTGCGACAAAAATTGTGCTTTGTACAAAATTGCTATATTTGTACGACTATAATTGTGTTTTGTACAAAAGGTACTACAAAAATTACTGTACTCACACCACAATAATTCTGTATTTTGTAATAATTGTGTTGCTGTATTCGTGCGACAATAATTGCGGATTTGTACAAAATTTACTGTATTCGTAGCAAAAAAATTGTGTTATGTACAAAAATGAATGTATTCGTTTTATTTATGTTGACACATCTATGCACGGAAATAAATTGTTTGGATGGTATAACGAAGATAGATCAAAGAGCTTTTTAATGATTGTGAGTTTACTTGCAATGATTTTCGTTATTCATTTTGCTTATTTCTACACGCAAACATACCGTGTGTGTGTGTGTGTGTGTGTGTGTGTGTGTGTGTGTGTGTGACCTTGACAAGCTTATAGTTTAGTCTGCTATATTCAATTTTCTTTTTTCACTTAATTTCTGTTTCTACTCGACACTGATTTATCCTTTGTTTTCAAACAGATTGAGATGCAAGTTTCAATTGCTGCTAAAATATTGTTCTTTAATATTTAATGCGTTTTAAGATTCTCGTCTGAAAAATGTGTAGCTTTATCGTCGTATTGCAGGTATACATTACTGTACTGTCACATATAGTAGCAGGTCTTGTAAGTTTAGTCACTAACTGGTTTTCTTGATTCATGTAGAAAAGTAATTATGAAAAGGTGATAACAGAAGTCGACATTTTACTGATAGGAGTTCGTTTATATGCATTTATTGACTGCACCTTATTGACTGCATACATTTTCATTGGAGGGTAGAAACATCCTTAGCAAACATTGGGCCCTATTTGGATCATATTGGCGTCGGCACCCTGTGAGAAAGGCATTTGGAAATAAACTTTCAATCAAGTTTATCCTATTCAACTTAAACTTGTCTTCCATCGCTTTAAAATTTTTTGGTGTATGTATGTATGTATGTATGTATGTATGTATGTATGTATGTATGTATGTATGTATGTATGTATGTATGTATGTATGTATGTATGTATGTATGTATGTATGCATGCATGTATGTATGTATGTATGTATGTATGTATGTATGTATGTATGTATGTATGTATGTATGTATGCATGCATGCATGTGCTTGCGTACGTACTTACGTACGTATATATATATATAAATATATATATATATATATATTTATATATATATATATATATATATATATATATATATATATATATATATATATATATATATATATATATATATATGTGTGTGTGTGTGTATATATATATATATATATATATGAGAGAGAGAGAGAGAAAGAGAGAGAGAGTGTGTGTGTGTGTGTGTGTGTGTGTTTAAGAATTACTAACGCGTGCGAGGTCTTCGTATGCGCGAAGCCTGATTAATACAATATATTTTTTCAATGGGCCTAAGGCCGGCCCTGCTGGAAGGTGTAAATCTGGCACGGTTTGATATCTATACATTCTTATGTGTATAGGGATAGTTTAATGGAGAGAGAGAGAGAGAGAGAGAGAGAGAGAGAGAGAGAGAGAGAGAGAGAGAGAGAGAGAGAGAGAGAGAGAGATGCTTACAAGCTCCAGTGAAGAGCAAAGTTACTCTTCTCCATATTTTCCGTAAGCATGTGTCTGATTACGAAATGGCCATGACATATATATCAACAGAAACGTGATTGTCTTATGTACGAAGTATCTCTGTAGGGTATAGGTCAATGTGTAAATTTTGGACCCTCGGGAAGTTTGGGAGGTTGCTTGTTAGTGGTTCCAACTATAAGCCAATCTGACATGTTTATAGAATAATTGGAATCT